AAAAAAAAAAAAAAAAAAAAGATAAACCCGGTATGTATTTCTCGATTTTATAGTGTCATGAAGGTGGGTACTCTATGGGACATTCCGTGTAGAGTATCGAATATTGCGATAGCGTGTCACCTATCTGAGCACCTAAACCCTCTCCCGCATCTTTTCTGTTGATACGGTCAATTTTCGCCATCTGACCTCTTCCTATTTTTTTGGTGAGCGCTTACCTGGTTAGAAGCCGGGATTGTCCTACAACCGCTAGAGCAGTAGCACGATACCTAATATTAGTTTACGGACCTATTTCTTGGCCTTCGGCACTCTCTCCTTCGGAGCGACGAGTCTCTCCTTCTGGCCCCAGATCAACTTGTGTGGCTTCATGTAGCTCTGCAAGACCGCCTCGTCGATTGCAGCTCTTCTGGTCTGGAAGCCAAGAACAAACTCTTCTAAGACGTCACTGCACATCTTTTTCATCTCCCCAGACAAGATCTCACCATTCTTGTAACCGTCGTAGAGAGCCTTCAACTTCTCGTCGTCGTCTTCAAAGAAACTCAAATACTGGTAGGGCACATCCACATCTGGGTCACCGCCCAATCTTCTGTGGTCCTCCACGAGTGGCTGACCACCAGAGAAGGCGTGCTTCTTGATCTTCTTCTGGATGACCTTTGGGGTGTCGGTCATGAAAATGGCAGTATTTTCGGCGGAGGCAGACATCTTAGTGGTGGAGCCCTGCAAGGCTGGGAAGAAACGGGAGTGGATCAACGCTGGCTTGGAGAACTTCAACTTGTCGGCAACGTCACGACAGACCCTAAAGTACGGATCCTGGTCAATAGCGCATGGAATCAAGCACGGGGTCTTTGGAGGTAAACCCAAGACGTCAGGGAAAGACGATGGAAAGGCGGTAGCAATTTGGATGGAGGCAAAGTGGAGCTTTCCGATACAGTCGGAGTCCTGGAAGCCAAACACGGCCTTGGCGGTGGAGGTGGTGATCTGTCTGGAGGTTCTGACAACGTTCTCGTAGAAGGCTCCGCTCATGTACTCCAAATCAGAGAAAATAAAGGTGTTTTCCGGGTTGAAGCCCACGGCGATGATGTCCTTGGCGTTTTCCCTGGAAAACCCCTTGACATCTTCGATGGTCAACTTTGGCTTGAATAAAAACTTTTCGTCATCAGTCAATTCGATCACCAACGGCACGTCAAACACTTCCTGCAACCACTTTGTGAACACGAACGGGATCATGTGGCCCAAGTGCATAGACGAGGAGGACGGGCCCCTACCGGTGTACAAGAAGAACGGCTCACCGTGCTCGTACTTGTCCAAGATTTTAGCAAAGTCTCTTTCGGAGAAGAAGAGACCTTTCTTCATGTAGTGGTGGGGCTCGCGGCCGGTCACATCGCGGAAACGCTGCAAGGTCTCCTCGTTGATGGCCTTGGTGCCGAACTGCTGGATCAATTTGTCGTAGTCAATGGACTGGACCTTGCCGTCAACGACAGCACCTTCCACATCCCATGGGGTAATGACTTGGGCGGCATCGGAAACATTTAATTCCGCAACTTGGGCAGCAACTTGGTCGGACATGTTATATTGGGTGTATTCCACCTCCACATGTGTCTGTTGGCGTCAAAATTTTATACCTTTCCTTTGCTGGTATCCACACGTCTGCTATTCGCAGTGACTCAGGCAGCCAAACCACCGCCTGGGGCGGCCAATGAGTCATCGAGGTTTACTAAATATGACTCGAGGCTCGAAGGAACGATATGAGAGATGACAAAAATAATAAAATCTTCAACCTAGGTGAGCCGCAGTAAATAGCGTTTGTCACACGGATATAGCTGAATAATCTGGTATTTATATTAACGCATCTTCGAAATGGAAAAGCGCTAGTGGTGACAGCTACCCATCGTGCGTCGGTGTTCCCTTACTGGAAACTGGCACTTCTCAGCGGTATTTGAAACGTATATTAGTTATACGGGAGATTATTTTTCCTTCTTGAAGTAACTGATGTTTTACCTATATGTGAACTGGAAGTAACCAAAACTGCTACCCAACCAGAGTCTACTACACATTATCATAGGGGCTCTCAATATATGTCACAATTTTAAACATAGCTACATTATTAAGAACTTATATCTATATAAACATTAGAGCTTATAACAAGATTCCATGACAGGGAAAAGCAAGCCATAACTAGTGCCGTCCTCCATCCTTTTTCGCGTCTTCGGATGCCCACAACTTATCCCATATGTATGTAAACTGGCAATAAATCCGATTTTTGGTCCAAAATACTAATTTCTCTACAACTCTGTAAAGCTTAGCTTTTTTTACTATTATCCAATTGCGATTTGTTCGTTATTCGTTTCCACTCATTGCAAGCCTGCTTACGCACCTACCTCGTCCCGCGCCATGGCTAGTACTAGGACCTAGATGACGTGTAACACGCGTGAAAAGCAGTACCAAAGGCGTTTTAACAGCCCTTATCTCGTACTCCTATTCTAAATAGGACTGTGAGAAGTTGGTCTAACTTTTGGCAGGGGAGTGGGACAGAACATTGGACTCCTGTATGGCTTGTATGCTGCATCATTGTAAAAGCTATTCCATTTGAGAGGAGAGGTATTATTCAAGGGCAGTAACGTATTGCGTTTAAGAGTAGAAATACTGAAAGGCGAACTGGACGAAACAAGGCTGTTAGGGGTACTTTTCCTCGGCGATGGAGTGGAGAGTCGCAGAAGGCTCGAGCTCACCGGCGAGATGAGCCTGGGTTTGGGTGCCTCGGAAACCCCCATACTCGGAGAAACACACAGAGGAGTTTTAAAGGAGCTTGAACGCTCAGCCTTTGAACCGATACTGCTCTGGCCAGTGTAGAATGTGTCCGTTTCTGAAGCTACCGTGGCTGGCCTACCCTCAGCATCTCTGTCAGGGATGCCACCCCAGGTTGTCTTTGAATTCAAATCAAAAACCATAATATTGATGCGTTCTCTTGTTAATGGTCTTCCCTGTTCCTGCGAGGCTGGGTATCTCACGGATACAAGTTCGTGTGGCGGAGAAATTGGTCTTTCGTAGTCAAAACTTCTACTAGTGGTCACTACATCCGCGGGGTGATCCCAGGAGTGCAGGCGGCCATGAAAATATTCGTTATCCATCTCTGTTTCCTCGGTGGCCAGTATCACTCTGAGATGATACAAAAAATCATCTGTATCTACCCTTATAGGTACTGGTTCCTGCGTTACGGAGGCGATCGAGCTAGCCACTGTTGTACGAGAATTGGGGTACGACATGCTAAAGTTACCGCCATCGCCAGTATCAAGGGTTCCCTCTGAACGCCGGGCGATAATACGTTGCTTGTGGGCAAGAAAGTTGAGTAGCCGCCTGTGCAAACTCCGTATCCGTGAGTCAGACGGCGCCACTGGGGCATTATCCGATGCGGTATTCGAAACGGTTATTTTAGACGTAGTGCTTTTGCCCAGAGATTCAAGTGAAACCAAAGCCGTGGGAGGGTGAAACACACTTTTGAGATCATAAAGGCTTGTGGTAAGCTGCGTCGGTTTAGAACGCCCTGAGGAGTACATTTAAATTCTGGAGAGGGTCGGAATAGCGATGTTGTGCGCCCTTAAGCAAGGGGAGCGGATGTAGCAAGATTAGCAATAGAGGTCAACACAGCGGAGCTGCCTAACGACGGTCATTGAACTTGAATATATCGTTTTAGCGGTAATTGCCGCATCATATGTGTTACGCTTTATCGGGGAATGAATTTGTCTTTGAATGCGGGGTAGTCCACAGAAACAAATTCATTGAAGGGTCCAATGGGCAAGTCCGTATGAACCCAATACCAGGCATACATTTGATGGTTAATGGCTTACATCATATCATCCTTTTGCCCCTGGTGGATAAATAGACTCTGCGGGTTTGTAAGGTATTACCACTGTTATTCCGCCAGCTGGGGACTTGGTAGCACATGGTGAGTGTACTCCACAGATGCATGAGAAATGACGTCAGATATATGTATCCACCAGTAGCCAAAGCATTGCCCCGTTTTGAAATTTGGAGGTTATCCATTAAAAATTGAAACTGGGAATAGCAGTTACAGCGTGCATGGAGTCTCTAACATTAGGCCAACCATTCGGTGATATCTAAAAGTGACGGCCCAGAAACCATTCTGGCTTAGTCACTCGCAGAGACTTATAGCCCAATCTATTTTGGTATGGATCACGTGTGCCGCAGCCTCGATTCAACGGCTTGGTAGCCAACGCTCTCGGACACCTGGAACAGCTCCTGAAGGATAACAATATTTATTCAATATAGCAAACACGCAAATTTTAGAAGTATATTAATCCTTAATGGTTAGAGCCATGTTACGTGGGAAACTACACCCGCCTTCTTGGCACTTCACGTATGCTAATTTATTGGGCATACATCACGTGCTGAAGACTCCGGTACAGTGGCACACAGCCAGAGGGGAACTTATCCAAGCAGACAAGACAGCACTGCAAGTAGCCAAAAATATCTTAATAGCCTTCTTATATTCAATAAACCCCGTTCGATAATCAAAAAAAAAAATTTAGCCTACGGCCACAAGACGTATTTACCGGCACTCACTATTTCCTTCCACGTGACATCCGGCACCCACCTAGCCTCCGCAGTGTTTCTCCTGAGCTGGTGCATACAGGACAACACCGCTATTATTGCTCTGTTGTTATGTATTGCGCTAGAGTTAGCTATTTTGCCAGGGCCCTACGACTATTTCAGAGTTTCTACGCATCTCTATCTTCACCGCCAGATTGACACTGATCCATTGACACTACAGCTGCTCTTTTCCACCACAAATCATGTCATATCCCGCGCCGTCGATGTTGAACGAAAATAGCTCGGACGACTCCCTCGGAATCGTCTTTGACAGCTACGGAAACGTCGCCTACAGTAAGGAGCTACTCGTAGACGACCTTGAGCTGCTTCCAGACCCGCCTCTGAGCCCCGTGCCCGAACGACTCCATATTTCCTCGCGGTTGTCGTCGATGGGCTCGGCGGACCACCTCGTACAAACGTTGCCATCGACGCCGACGCAGCGGTCGCCGCGCCCGCCCTATAAAGCCGCCTCAAGCCTGCATTTGAACGAAAACGAGCCGTTGGAGTCGTCTGACGAATGGGTTAACAGGGGTGCGGCCGAGGCTACCCGAATCCAGGACGGCACCGCCTCGACCATCCGCCGCACGGTCAAGGACTTTGCGTTCGGCGACTCGCTTGGCGAGGGCTCGTACTCTACAGTGGTGCTCGCAACCGATAAGCACAGCCAGAAGAAGTATGCGGTAAAAACTCTCGACAAGCGTCACATCATCAAAGAAAAGAAGGTCAAGTACGTGAATATCGAGAAGAACGCGTTGAATCGCTTGGGGCAGCGCGACGGGATTGTCCATCTCTTTTTCACCTTCCAGGACGAACAGTCGTTGTACTTCGTGTTGGAATATGCGCCGCACGGAGAGCTCCTCGGATTGGTCAAGAAGTACGGTTCGCTCAATGAGGATGTTGTGCGCCACTTCGGCGCTCAGATGGTGGACGCAATCAAGTATATGCACGACCAGGGAATAGTCCACCGCGATATCAAGCCGGAGAATATCTTGCTCGACGACCGGATGCGCATCACCATCACAGACTTTGGGACCGCCAAGATGCTCGAAAGGGAGGGGGCAAAGTACCCCGCCGATTGCAAAGCCACGTCGTTCGTGGGTACCGCGGAATATGTTTCCCCCGAGTTGTTGAACGACAAATACACAGGCAAGTCCGCCGACTTGTGGGCGTTCGCGTGTATCGTCTTCCAGATGATCGCGGGGAAGCCGCCGTTCAAGGCCACCAACGAGTACCTCACGTTTCAAAAGATCATGAAGTTGCAATACGCATTCACCGCCGGGTTTCCGTTGGTTGTCAGGGACTTGGTCAAGAATCTCCTCAGACTCAAGCCTCAGGACCGCTTGACCGTCCGCGGCATCCAGAACCACTACTTCTTCGCCGATATCGACTGGAAGGACCACGACGCGGTGTGGAATCGGCCAGTACCGGAGCTAGGCCCGTACAAGGTCAATCCCAAATCCATGATGCCCATCCCTGAGTTGAGCAAGCCGAAACCACGGGTTTATACCCGGAAATCCGCCTCCACCACCCCGAGAATAGCTAGCGGTGAGTTTGAGGACCGTCCTACCACTAGTCGGGCCCCTTCCGCTCCGCTGGTGGTAGAAGAGCGCTCTGGTTCGCCTAAAATCGGGACTGCCAGCTCTTCCAAGCTGGGGGCTGGGGGCTCTCCCGGCCTTGTGGCTGCTCCTTTGGCAACAGGTGCCGCTGCCGCGGCGTCTGTCGCGTTGTCGCGCAAGCCAGCCGATATCATTGCCAAAATGCCCAATAAAACTCTGTCGGACAAGCTCAATGAAAAGCCACTGGCGTCAAGACAGGGGCTGTACCGCTCCAAACTGGAATACATCCCCGGCACCAACATCCTCCGTCCGCAGGCGATGCAGATCAAGCATCCGTCGGCACGCCGCAGCACAAGCAACAGGTCGTCACTCAACTCACATGTTCCAGCCAAAGCCCCCGAGGTGCCGCAGATGTCCGCCTTGGACTTGCAGTGGTCGGACTACTTTCGCAGCCACGATGAACGCGTGTTGAAGGTGAGCAGCGTGCTCATGACACAGACCACCGTGGATGCCTTCGAAAAGCGCTACAAGGGCTGCCTCGCCGACAGTCCGTTGGGGTATCGCGCGGGCTCGTCCAGCTCCAGCTTGTTGACGCAGGTGGTGCACGGCAATGTCAACGGTTTGCGCAACATGAAGAACGGGCTGGGCCTGAGCGGGCTGGTAGATGCAGACGAAAGCGAGGCGATCTTACTCAATAACGCGGAGGAGGCTCCCACCAGCTCCACGTCAGACGACTCACACAAGAGTGCCAGCTCCCGTTTCAAGAAGATGTTCCTGGCTTCCCACACCGCTGCAACCCCTTCGGTCCAGCAGGGCACGCTGGAACCTCGCCAGAGACGGATGCTTTTGATAACCACATTGGGCAGAGCCTTGCTCTTGAGCACCAAGTACGATGCCCACCACGATTCCCGCCACGAGTTGCGAACCGAGCTCAGCTTGGTGCACCCTTCGATCAGGTTCAAGGAAGTGGTGGCAGACAGAAAGCCCTCCAAGGCGCAGAACATCGGCATTTTCGGTATCGAGTGCTACAAGACCTGTTTCATGTTTGAGGTAGATAAGTTAGACGTGTCCTCCTGTACGACCAGCTTGGCCAAGCTGCGAACCATGGAAAACGAACGCCAGGTTAGGATCGCCATTTCCGACGACAATCCTGGCGGCGCAGGTACCGCTACAGGCCACCAGGCCGCTATGGCTGCAGCCCACAGGGCCGTGTCTCCCGACATGTTGTCCCTGGAAGACAAACCACAAGGGCTACTTGAACCGATTAACATCACCCGTGAGACTAACACCCGGAAGTATACTAAGTCGCATGCGCGGGTCCCTAGCGGGTCGGGGGACCTGCCACAGCAAGGCACGCTGGAGCGGATGACCTCTCAGCGAATGCGCAGCCACCAATCCAAGCATTCCGGCACGAAAGTGGATCTCACCTCCGGCCAGTTGGTGAACGGCCTTCCAGCGTTTTCCTCCTCTCCCCTGACGTCTGGGAAGGCAAACTATGGTTTGCAGGCCGCGGAGTTGGCATCTTCGTCTCTGCCGCATTTCCACGAGGCGAAAAGATCAAGTTTCACCAAAGACAGCATCGGAACCGTGCTTTCAGGCATGAACTCCAGATTCCGAAAAAGGTAAGTCTAGCTCACGTATAGAATTATAAAATATACTGGCATACCATGCATTTTAAAATATTTTCCGCAGACCATTGATGGTGGCAACTTCCGAGAGCGTAGCGCTAGCTTCCACCCTTTCAGACCCACTGATAACTAAGAGCTTGCTTGTAGATTCGTGTCGCCAACGAGAGGCACTAAATTGGATGGTCCTAAGCTAAAATTCCTTGGTAGCTATGGAATAGTCCTAGTTAAAGGGCTTGTTTATATAAAGCATGGGTCGCATGAGCTTTACCCAATTCAGATATATCTTCCCATAGAGCACCCAGATCTCCCCTAAGGATATAGTCGCCGCATTAGTTAACGTGAGCGGTGTATACAGTGAAAGAGGTGCATGTTTACGTAGAGGGTACTTTCGGATCCGGGTTCCTATGCTCTCTTATATCAAAGATTTCGTCATGAAACTGAAATTTCCTAAGCGGCACGGATTGTATCCAAGGGTCCTTTTCGAAGACTCAAAAGGTGTATAATCCTCCCCTACTCCGCATACACTCCCAAAGGTTGCTCTAGTGTGAGCAGCACATGGAAGCTTATCTCCCTGCCCGCATATGTATAATGTCGTCAGCCGGGACATAGAACAGAAGGTAAAGGGGAAATATGCGGCTGCTAGAGCAGTCACAAGGGTGGGAGTGATTTTTGCTTAGAACCTGTAGCGTACTGAAATTTAATATGCGTTCTCAAATTTATCGGTATTTACACCCTTGTCGTACACGTGCGCATGCTTAGGGCTGGGTGAAAAATTTTTCTGTAGGCCGGGTTACCAGCATCTCGAAATGTTGACAAAATTTTCCGCACTGCAGGCAACGGCCTCACACGCTCACACTCATACTCTGAGCGGTGTGGGAGCAAGCTGTGTGCTGTAGGGGGAAAATCTTACGGTACCACTGCTAATATTAGTGAAAATTCTTTAAAAAATCCACCAGGTTTTTATAGGTTCTCTTCACTGTAAGCTTATAACACAATCAAAATGGCTAAATTCATCAAATCTGGCAAGGTTGGTATGTATCGATACCCGTGAAATGATCTACGATGAATTATCCGTTTGAAGAGAATCCACAACTTGACAAGCTGGCTAAAAACGCTCATACCGGTGACACACCAAAAGACCACTGCCCATCGACAGCACGCATGTTACCATAGAGGCCGACCCATGAAAGAATGCCAGTACCAATTAATCGGCCATACGGCTGGAAGCACCTCTGCCGGTGCTGGTAGTACGGCAAATCCCTCTGACACCAAAGGGTCCAAGAGCCTGGTGTATTCCGTTCATCCAATCTGAGTCTCCATTACCGTCAATGTCATTTTTCGCTCCTCAAACTATTTTTCGTGGTTAACTCTAACCGAATCTCTACTAACACGTCTATAGCCATTGTCGTTCGTGGTCGTTACGCTGGTAAGAAGGTCGTTATCGTCAAGCCACATGACGAAGGTACCAAGTCTCACCCATTCCCACACGCCATTGTTGCCGGTGTCGAAAGATACCCATTGAAGGTCACCAAGGACATGGGTGGTAAGAAGGTTGCTAAGAGAACCAAGATCAAGCCATTTGTCAAGTTGGTTAACTACAACCACTTGATGCCAACCAGATACACTTTGGATGTTGAGGACTTCAAGTCCGTTGTCACCTCTGACTCTTTGGCCGAGCCATCCCAGCGTGAAGAAGCCAAGAAGGTTGTCAAGAAGGCTTTCGAAGACAAGCACCAAGCCGGTAAGAACAAGTGGTTCTTCACCAAGTTGGACTTCTAAACGAAGAAAGATTATGTTTTATTATTAATATTTGATTATATAGTTGCCAAGATACTTGGGTTCTTTGTTTATTAATGCATGGGTTGTTTAAGTTCTAAAGAAAAAGTTTCTATTTTTTTTTGTAAAGATGGGTAGTAGAACCGTGGCTAGGTAGCGTGCTCCTTCTGTTCTAGCCTAACATGGCCTATTCGTGTGGGAGGTTTCTTTGGTCTAGCCTTGTCAGCTAAAAAAAATTCGATACCAACACTTTCTGAGCTTATAAGGGTTTGACCAGAAGGCTCTTCAGGGTTCGTGTTGAATATCCCAGTGTATACACGTAATTACCGATAGAATAATGCTATTGATGTGTAGACCACTACCTATACAACTCTCCATCTATCATATATACCATACTTCATGTTACCAGTAGATGCTAGCCTGTAACTCGATAGACAGTCCTCAACCCTGTTCCATTGAGGCAACCAGAAAGACTTAGAGTATAAACGAGTAAGACTTCCAGATGAAAAGGATCACTAACGGGGCCTAGGTCCAGGGAGAGATATCCGAATGGCGAATCACATAGACTATTATTAACTGCAGTTAAACTTAAACTCTTCGGCTCTTATATTGACTATTCGGCATATTTATCTTAAGGAGAAAGTTTTAGTAATTTACGTACTGTACACTTTCGGCTTCCCCTTCCTGTGGTCAAGCTGTCAAATAATCTTTTGCTCACGTGATACTGCGGCTCGCATCAGCTTCGTCAAAGGGTCGTCAAGGTCGGTTGAAACGATCTCAATTTGCAACGTCTCGTTTCCCCTGTGGCACTAAGGTTTAACAAACTATACACTCTATCACGTAAAGTACCCCCACAATAAACGGTATGGAATACTCAGAATGTAGTGAACCTTGGTGTGTGGGGTAGCATCTCGGGATATCAAAAATAGGGGCGATATGTGTCTGGGCCGAAGTCCGATATAATCCGCACATACTGTCGTGACCCCTCTCCTGAGATCTGCTTAATTATTTGACCCCCATGTATATCCTAGCCCTGGTGGTTATCCCCGCCAGTACTTTACGGGGGACTGCCTGTTAAAGTTTGAAAGTAAACCAGCCGTAATTGCAGAGTATAGCTTAAACGGGCCTGTGTAATCTCTTTGCGTTTCTTTTTCCAAGGACATGGCGCTGTGTGGCGTAGTACGCGCGAACGTTACAGCTCAAACGCTTATTTGTAACGATACACGCCAAGCAATTAAAACGAATGGCTCCCTACAAGTCCTATCACACCGGGCCCAACATGAATAGCGAAATGTCTTCGGTTGATCTGCCGTTAGAACCGCCATCATCATCCTTGGTGGCGTGTGTCTTCAAAAAGATCGCATCCCTTTTGCCGTCCGAAACGGGCCTGACCGTCAGCGAGGTCGAAAACACCGCCTACTTCCTTGCCAGCCGCACCGGCCTCAATGATGTCTTCAAGCACTGCTTCTACGACTTCCTTGTCGTCGGCGTCTGCGATATCCTCGACAAGCTCAATAAAAACGATAAAAACGCGCCGTTAAAGAAACGCCGTGAGGCCGCGCTTGGCTCGCTCTTAATCTCGGTGCGGCTCCTCGCGGACATGCTCGAGATGAACTGGAGCGCGCGCGAAACCGCACCGATCACGGTGTTGGAAAGCGCGGACGGTGCGGACTATAACTTCATCACCGGCGTGGGCATGGCCGCGGCGAACGTCTACTATCATGTCGTGGCGCCACAAGCAGTGGACACGTCCGTCGCACGTCGCGCCATCGCGCTCATTGCAGGCCTCAAGTCCACGGACCCCATTCGCAAGGAGTTGGCCACTATCTCGCCGCACTATGCGTTCGACGACACACACCAGTACCGCAACCTCATCCGCAATATTGACCTAAACTGTGACGCCATCTTAGGCTGCTTCGCAGCGTCGAACCCGCGTGAATTTTCAGACTTTGCCATGAACAGTCTCAACGTCATAAAGTACTCACCGACTCCGGGCAGCGACGTCGTGCCCAGCATCGAACTATTCGGCTTAATCCGCTTCAATGAAAAACTCTTGACCGAGTACCTCCGTACCATCTGGCACTCGTTCTCGCTGATTCAGAAGCCTATTCATCAACAGTTGTTCCTATCCTTCTTTACCAAATCCTTGAATAACTGGGTCACCACCCAGACACAGGAGTTTTTGGACTGCATCGCACTCCCCGATTCGGCATTGGTCGCTCAGGTCGACCGCCTCTTCGACTTTGTGTATTCCCAGTTTGAAACCCACCCTAATGTATGCACCTTCCAGTTCCTCTCTGTCTTGATCTGCATCTTGCCCGACCACTGGCGCGTTTTTGCGAGCGCCCCGTCGCTCAGGGCCCTGTTCGTACCTTCCAACAAGAAGGAGAAATTCGTCCACAACTTGGCCCGGACCATCCGTAACAGCACCGACTTCGAATACTTGGCCGCCGCCGTCACCATCTTCAACATTACTGCGCGCATCTACTTGTGCGATCCCAACTCACCCATTGTCCGCTCATCGCGCGCCCACGCCCAGTTGATCAGTGAGAAGTTGACCATCACAGACCACGAGTCCGACCACGAGAGCCGCTTGAACAAGTTACGAACTGACTACTTTTGTTACGAAGTCGTCACCCACCAGGACCAGTTCGTTGCCACCGTTCTTGCCCACTTGTCCGACCACGAAATAGACTACCGCTATGGTCGCGTGTTGTTGGGCTCCTTGAAAATCTTGTCACGCATGCCCGAAACGCGCGATGTGTTCCTCCAACTCATCACCTCCGTGGGTCCTATTCTCCAAAACGTCTTGGTCAAGACCCTCCCAATGGCACCCGGTTCCGACGCTGTCTCCGAGGTTCATAGTATCCCGACCCTCCGCTCCTTAAATGGTGACGAGCGCGGCTCCATCACCGCCAGCGACTTGTGGAAGAAGCAAGACATCCAGTATGAGGGTTCCTTGTACACTTCGTATAATAACCTCGTGAAGGAGTGCAGCGGCTCGAATGCATCAATCTCCTCCTCGTCCATCACGTCCGAGAAAAAGAAGAGCAGCGGTGCCTCCATGGACTCCCGCGGAAAGAGCAGTTTCGATGAGTCCAGCAACTTCAGCCACGACCAGGACGGCGTGGGGCGCCTCGAATTGTACGTCGATATCATGACCATTTTCTGCAAGGCCCCACATATCTACTTCTCCTCGGCCGAGGCGTACGGCATCTCTAAGGACGAGTTCTTGTTACCAGTTGTGATGGGTCTCAGTGACCCGGACTTGGCCATAGTAGAAGCGGCTGGGAACTTTGTAATCACAATCCTCGGTAGCTGCGGAAAGTTTGACGACCACTACGACTCATGCTGCCAGATCGCCGTCTCCCAGTGCATGAGTGTGTTGGGCAACAGCATCAGCGAATGCGACTTGCGCAGCGACAGACTCCTCGTGATGCTTGAGTTGTTGACCAAGTTCGTAGTCACCAGATCCAACAATGAGAAGGCGCGTGAGCTAAGCTTTGTCGACCTGTTTGCCGGGATGACCACCAACAAATCGCACAACTGCCAATTACTTACAAGGGGCCTCGAGCCAGCCATCATTTACTGCTTGTGTTCGTCGGAAATCTCCACGTTCCGGGTGGTACAGCAGCTCTTGAAGTACACTCTTTTGGATGTCTCCTGGAGAGACCACGACCCAACCTGTCCGAACTTTAAGAACGCTGAAGTGTACGCTGCCATTGCTGACCAGTCGTATGTTGTTACGGGCTCAGTGGCCTTGCACAAGCGCATCCGCAAGATGATGAGAGACATTTCCCTCACGGAGGGCGTGGTTCGAGCGTGGGGGTGCATCTATGATCGCTGGTATCTTGGCTTCCAGTTGCGCTCCAGCCTCACCAACCTAGAAACAGGTGAAACCCGCAACTTTGGGGGCTGTTTGGCATCCATGGCGGGTGCCATCTTGACGGGTAGAGAGGAGGACGCTGGAATCTATGTGGAGCTTGTAGATAAGGTGGCTGTCTTTGTTACGTTGCACGTAGAGGCGTTGGTCACCGATACGTTGGTCCTCCGGGACGCAGTCATGGATGTGGTGTCCAACGAGTTGCACCCTCTGACATACTCCATCACCATGAAACTGATCATGGAAGCGGTGAAGGCTCTCGACGTGTCTACCGACGAGGCGTTTGAAAGTTCCTTGCTGTTCTTCGACCTGGCCGTCTTAATCTTAACCAAGGTGGTTCTCGACCCCAACCCTCATGCGATTGTTTCCCTTCGCTATGGCCATGAGGTTTATGACTACATTGCCTCCTTGATTGTGTCCACCCCTGACTCCCCTCCCCTCCTCAAACTCAAAATCAGACTCTGCAAGTTCATCACAGCTTTGGAGGCGAATCGAGATGCGTTGTGCTACAAGGGTGAAGTGCGGAGACGTACAGCTACTGTCCGGCTCCTTTCCGAGTGGCTAGAGAAGTCCGTTTTCCAAGACGGGACTGTTAACGGAGTCAATCCCAAGGTTTTACCCCTCAAGTTGGTGGGAATCACCACCAGCTCCAAGACGAGCTCCGAAATTAGGCGGCTAAAGGAGGTGGAAATGATGTATCTTGATTTGGCCCTCGAATCGTCACGGGCATTGTCGCTTGCCTTGGAAGGGCATACATTGGCTACACCCCAGGCTACCAGCTCTAAGGATTTGAAACACTCCAAGAAATTGGTGTTTGGAAACTACTTCTCGTTGTTTTATAGAGTTTTGGAGAAATTCAACCAAAAAGGAAAGACAAAGCAGGACGCCAGTCCTCTCAACACTCACAAGACGGACGCCATCTGTGAACTCATGATCATCTGTTCCACGAAGCTCTTCCAATCCAATGTTGAGGCGGGTCTCAGGATAGCCTTGCCGTATTGCTACCATGAGAACCAGAAAACAAGATTGTCCTTCATTCATGTGTTCATTAATATCGCTACTAGCTTGCAGAATTCTGAACAGGAGAACTTTAAATGGACCACTGAGAAACGTGACACGGTGATTGCCAAGTTCTTGTTGGACTACCCGAGTTTGGCTGTGGCTGTGGCCGATGCTTGTCCCGTTTCCCAGACCGATTTTCTTGCCACGTCGTTCTTGTTCTTGTACGACAACCAGGAGGACCTCTTGCGAAACTTGGCGGCTTTGGTCGTGAGCGAAATCAACTACTCCACTCGGCATGTTGATATTCTTAGAAGGAACAGTGTCGCCACTAAGCTTCTCTCGATGTATGGTAAAAAGTATGGCAGCGACTACTTGCGCGCCGCCATTAAGCCGACCTTGTGTGAGTTGGAAGAGACGAATGAATGTTTCGAGGTTGAAAAGTTGGACCCTGCCGATCCTTTGGCCTCGCTCAACGTTGACCGGTTTATGAAGTATTTGACGCAGCTTGTTGATGCCATTGTGTCCTCCGCACATGCGGTTCCCGACGAGATTCGATTTATTTGTTCCACCATTGACAAGGCTGTCCAGAACGTCTTTCCCGACGCGTCGATTGTTGCTATTGGTTCCTTCATGTTCTTACGGTTTTTCGGGCCCGCCATTGTTAGTCCCGAATCGGCAGACATCTTCTCTGTGTTCCCAGGTCGTAATTTAAAGAGGTCACTAATTCAGTTGGCTAAAGCGATTCAACACATGGCGAATGGATCTCTTGCCTCGTTGAAGTGGCCGTTGTTGAGCACCAAGGAGGCCGAGTTGAGCGAGTTGAACAAGAAGGTGGTTTCATATTTGGGGTCTTTGCGTTATGACTCTAGGACCTTCACCTTTAAGTCCAAGATGGCGTCACCGGAAGTAAGATCCAATTACTTGCACAAGTTCATATACGACACGATGCTGTCGATTTGTATCACCTTTTTGGATGGGTCGAACATCAACGCGTGTGAAGAAAGGTTGGCGATCTTTAGAAAGTTTGACAACTTGCTCTTCCTGATGGGCCAACCCGAAGCGGTGTTTGGGTATGAGATTCCGAACTCGATCAAGAATGATGGTAACACCGTTCTCTTCGACTTCATGAACAAGTACTCAACCAAGGATCTCGAGTCGTTGATTGATATCCCCTTCGTGCAGGCGGGTATCGCCGTGGATGGTACCCCTACACTCAACCTCTGTTTCAGTTACATTGAGAACCTTCAGATGGACTTTGAAATTCTTGCCTACAGAATCTTCCAGGTTGCTAGTAAGGTGTGGGACTCCAAATTCTACATTGTTTGTGACTTCTCTTGTTTGAACACATACGAACACTGTGAGCTCTTGGTGAGTATATGCCTGACGCATACCCCGGAGGTGATGTCCCAAAACTGTTCCGGTGTTTACATCTTGAACTTGGCTGACAAGCTCTTCGGCTGGTTTGTTGAGGCGAGCAAGAGCTCGCTTGTTGGAAACCCTTTGTTTGACCCATTAAAGGTGGAGTTTTTCTTCCGTTCCTCTTTCGATGACCCAAAGACATTTGGTACGCTCACTTTCTCCCGTCTCTTCAACAAGCTTGTTTCCGGTACCAAGAGAGTGTCTTTCTCAGACGTTATGTACTATCAGGAAGCGCACCAAAGATTTGTTTCTGCCACCGTCCAGATTGGGGATGAGTACTTGGTGATTTGCGAGAACATGCCAAGAAGCTTCTCAATCGCTGGTAAGATTGCGTCAACAAAGGTGGTGAACGTGATCCCTATTCTTCACTTGCAAGAAATAGAGACGACTCACATTACGGGTGTCACCAACGAGTTTACCCTTGTGGATGCCCTATCTAACGCGAGATACACCCTCGCCCTGGAGAAGAGGGCCGAGATCATGCGTACCGTGTACTTTGTCAGGTCTAGGATGACCGAAAACGCGGAAGCCGGAGAGGATGACCTTGAAGAAGATGCCACTGACTGGGTCGGCTACTTGTTCAATGCCTGCTTTGCCGGTCTTGTCTCTTCGTCAGAGGCGATCCGTTCATCGTCGTTTTCGTTGCTATCCTCTCTCTGTGAGACATTCGACTTGGGCTTGGGCAGACAATTGAGAATAACTTCAAACGTCCGTTTCCCGAAGGACAACACCACCTTTATTGTGTCGATTTCGGCAGCCTTGGCCAGAACCTACCCAGATGCCACTTATATCTTCATTGAGAACTTTTGTCGGGTGTACCACAAGTTGCCCACCAACGAAAAATTGGCTTCCGTCATGTATTTGGCCCCCTGGATTGCCAATATCTACAAGCATGTGTTTGCTACCGACGACGAAACTGGTACCGAAAAGACGTCTGAGTTGGTTAGAATGTTGACCAAGATTTCGACCCTAGAGGATGAGTTTTTGCCCGTGTTCAACACCCACGTTTGGAGCACGCTTTGCTTGGAGGATAAACTTTCGAGCATTCTTCTTGAGGAGATTGTTGCCGTTGCTGTTGATCTTGAGTCTGAGGGTGTTGATTGGAATGACGTGATTGGTTTAATCTCGTTGACCCCAACCATTGAAATTTGCTGTGGCGTGATCAATCGTTTGAAGGAAGTATCGCACATCCCAAGTCACTCTGGAGAGTTATCCATGATTACACAGACCAGTTGGATTGAGATCACTATTCTTGTCAAAATCTGTGTCTCTTTGTTTTTCGATTCCTTGTTCTTCACGGAAATGTTTTTGCCGGATGTGCTCTTCATCATCACAATGTTCCTTGATATCGGGCCATTGCGCTTGAGAAAGGCCTTATATGGCTTGACAATCAATGTGTTGCATTCGTTTTTGGCCAAGGAAGACTTATCTGAGGCTATCCTTGACAAGATGAACCTAGTGAACCACAAGCTTACGGGGCAACGTGCGAAGATTGTCTTTGGTTTAACCAGAAACGAATCCACGGTTGATTCCGACTCCAATCGTGTTGTTTCTGGACTTAACGGGTTGGAATACTTCTGTGGTCATTTGAATGAGTTCTTAGACTATGCCACTGATGGCAACATGAAGTCGGTGTGGCGTGTCCGGTGGAACGCTTATGTGATCGATGCTGCTTTCCGCAATGGCTCCCTCTTGCAACCAAGGGCCTTGTTAATCTTGGGATTCTTGGCCAGGTCTGGTGTGACTGACAACTTGGTCGGAAAGCTTCTTGATTTGGTTAGCATCATTGCTGATGAACACTGCTACTCTAAGAAGGATGAAAGCAGTTTCTTGTGTGGTGTGTACGCCATTAGTAGAGTGGTTGACGGTCTTCCCCTGTCCTCTGTTTTCTTTCCAAAGCTTTTCTGGTTAGCGTCCCAATTGTGCCAAACAAACAGCCCCTTGATTTTTCAGGCAGCCACTCAGTGCATGTCTCGTATCTTGATTGCCTATTGTGCAGTTGTGATTGTGCCTCCTGCGACATACTACGATACGTTATTTGAGGTGCGTTCCAAAACTCTTACTGTTTTGGATGAATTTGATGCTCTCCAAGAGATCAGATTTACGCGTGATAACTTCGATGTATGCGTGGCCTGGATTGTTATGAGGGGTTTGCAAATCCCTCGGACCAAGCAAACGTGTGTTGAGTTGTACCAAACTCTATTTCAAGGGCGCCAACGTGAAGAGATTGGGAAATGGCGATGTGAACCCGAGGCCATTTTCTCAAATTCTCATATGTGCCACCTTTTGTTTATTTTCATTCTTTCCAAATCGAATTCTGAGATTGAAGCATTCATGGACACTTGTGACTTGGATGACCGACAGTATGTTCTGTTGGGTGAAGGGATTAAAGCCCCCAAGGTATTGATTGAATTTGTTATGGAGACCAACAGAAATACCGTCACCACTTTCTACTTGGCTGCCAGTTACATTGTTTCCAAGTACTGTGACGATCATACCCGTTTTCGCTTTATGTTGATAACGCGCCACGCTGGCCACAGAAACCCAGATCTTTTGTACAAGATTTATTTCGTGGTTAGACCGTTCTTCAAAAAGATTATTACTGGTATTTACCCTCTTCAATTCCTTGGCGTCGGGTTTGATATCTCTACTTACGTGTGCCGTATTCCAGGGTTTACTTTCAACGAAAGTGAGCAAGCTAATATGCTTGATGCTATTATGAAAGAGCATAATGTTCTCGGTCTTAAGAATTGGGAATTCCAGCCCAATGAACCCGAGATGAAGGCTCTGCGAGTTCTCAAATTCCAGGAAACTATTCACCAACTCCTTGCCAATTTTATTGAAACCGAGTAGACTCGGTTTTCTCTTATTTTTTATTTTGACCTTATCTTTGCATATTTCTCTTGTCATTCCTATTTTTTTTTTTTTTTAATTCTATGTTTATTGTTAATTGCAGCTATACATGTGGATGCGAATCAACTTGCTCACAAGACGGTTATTCAATCGCGTAAAACATTATCCCGATGATAGAACACCCACACCTGGTGCTATTGAAATCTCAGTGGTTGACTCTGGGTAATTAACTTAGTTATAAGTATTAGTAGGACGTGCTGTTTGATTATAGGCGTAAAAACTGGATTGTGCCAAAGTGACATAAAGTGACGAGCTGATCTGAATTCCGGTTTGGGTAATATTTCTCCTGCACACCGGAGGTGAACTACCAGGTCTGGAAATCGAGGGTATACTTCTGGTCTGGCACAGAAATCATACCCTTGAAGCCACACATTCCCTGGCCACAGCTATGGCATTCCCGTTAGAAACATCACACGTTATAAATGTACTCCGGCTCGCCTACTTAGCCCACCATCCCGGAGATGAGGCCGAAGCGTCCCTCATCGAACCACACGGGTCCGTGATGTCCCATAGCATCGCACATGAGAAGTTCTGCTTGAATATCAACAACGAGCTCCAGTATCACACAATGGAAGAAGTATTTGGGCGGTGCCAGAGTCCCCCAATCCAGTTTAATGTTCCGAATGTAACCGAAGGCCAGGAAAGGCGACCCCAGAAGAATGAAAGCCACCCTTTCCTGAGTGTACCCAGTATTTCAAGCGATCCACTACGTGAATCTAGTGATCTTCACGACAGTCTCACGTCTTTAGAGGGTAATAGCACTCGCTTCCCGGAGAAGAAGAGTGAGACTGCCCCCGTCAACCCGTTGAACTACACAAAAACCATTCGGAAGTCGTACAAGAAAGGAATCTCGCGAATATTTGGGAACGGCAGCACTGCTCCCCGGAAACCACAAAATACCTCCATGCCAATGGTGTCCAGCGATGAAAGTGATGATGATGATGACAGGGAGCACGCCGGCGACTCAGATTCTGATGAAAGCGGATACATTCGAGAGACCGAAAGTGGCAGGGTGACCCTTGAAAGCTCAAGCTTGCTCACCGCTGGTGCTACTTTAGATGCGGGTGAAACCACTCTGCGTGACGACACTGTTCTAATAACAGCCGTCCCCTCGAGATCTGAGGATTACATCAACCGCATCGACCATGAAATTGACTCCTTCTCAGATTCCGACTACTACTTCACGGACCTTGACGATTCAGGGTTGGACGATAATTCTCTTATTGACAGTGACTACTCAGAGGTTTCTGATCATCAAATCTCTTTCAAGCCGCCCAAGTTTGGTATCTCTTCGGCACCACACACAAAGGGTCGCCAGAAGAAATTAAAACTGTCCTATTCTCCCGCTGGTTCGAGGAGATCGGAACCCTTGAAGAAGAATAGCTCCTTGGCAAATATTGCAGCTTCCACTCTCGCACACATCGGTGAATCTGATGCTCCAAGCCTTGAGATAAGGAAGGAGGACATTTTGCCACATGTATCAAAGTCCAAACTCACCAGTCTTCTTAACGCGTCAGTGACCTCAGAGGCTCAGCCACTCAGTAAGTTCCTCGCTACCAAGGGGATTTCGGGCGATAAGTCTTCCGTAAGGCTCAATGTCTACGTGCCCAGTTCTGCCATTCCGAGCGTTCCAGTGTTTGGTGTGGTTGTGAGACGAGAATCTCTGGTGTTTGACGTTCTTGGCTATATTTTGTTCAAGTACTCCGAGAAGATCACCCTCACCGATGAGGACAAGAATCCAAATAAATGGTGTTTGAGGATTGCAGACGACGATGGTGAACCCTTTGATGGGAATTTTGGTTTGTTGAACCGTGTCCACCCAATTTCGGGCTATTCTGCTGACGAAGTGGCGTTGTGTCAAGTCTCTGATGCAGAATACACAAAAAATTGCATTGAAACTCCCTTCTCTGTCACTACCGCTTCCGTCACAGAACCCAATGCCTCTGGTCACATGTCATCTGACTCTACTGAATTCAAGGTCTACTTGTTCCCGTATACGGAATACAATTACACCTCATATTTTTTTGATGCCCTGGCTACGGCAAACGAATTGTTGGATATGGTTTGCAAGGATAAGAATTTGGGCCTAAAAACTCACCAGTTCCGTGTTATTCCCCACCGCACACCGCTTACTGGTAACGAAATTTTATCGGAAATTAGTAATACCAATCTTGAATTGGTGTCGCTGGACCCTACCGAAGAATTTGACAAGCTTTCGATGGGTACTTTGAATACCTTGCCGTCCATGATGACACTGCGTGGTGCTATGTTCCCTTCGGTCCTGCCGCCTCTGGGGGCTATAACTGGTAGGGCCCTGGGTTTGGGAGCCAAGAAGCCTCCGCTCAAGAAGGCTTTATCTAGGAGAAGACCCCCCTCCAACTTCTATACCACTCCCCAAACTCCTGATATCCCGGGGATTACTGGCCTGGATTTCCATAAGTGGAGTGTCTTGAGACGACAGCCGATTGCCTTCAATAATCGATTGGAAAAAACCTTAGTGGTTGATGGCGACTACATTTATTTGGTTCCCAATGATGACAAAAAGACCTGGTATGACCCCAATATGGGCAAGCCGGTGAAAACATCCACCATCCACCTCAGTCGCTTGTTGGGGATCAAAAAGAGTAAAAAGTATCAAGCAGGGTTCAAGCTAGTGGTGCAAAAATCCGACCGGGTAAAAACATACTACTTGGAGGCGTATGACGAAGAGCTGTGCCATGATATTGTAAAAAAGATTCAGTCGATTCATAAGGAGTACAGAGATAATAAAAATCGTTAGCTCTGTATAGCACCTTTTGAAGCATATTTTATCTTTTTGTTGTATCTGGAGAATAGCTTTACGTAGTTTTCAGTTTTTGGCTACGGCTTCGTTAAAAATCTAAGGCAAGCCTGACTCACATAGTGGTTATCCATTTATTGGCCTTTATGTAGTAAAGGTGCCATTTAACTAGACGGAAGTCGGAGGCCATTGTTTCCTTACTCCTTATAAGCGGACACCCTGGCATCGTATCCGCCTCAGTATATAAGGCCACCAACTACCCTTTTCTTGTAGATATCTTACATAGGAAGTATTCTCTTTTAGCTAGCTAACAGTATCCACTATTACCTACTAGATATACCACACTTTATCCGTTTTGGTATTCAATTCGCGGTGACACTGCCGTATAGTGATTCCAAGTTCCTTTTTGTCAATGAACGATACTTTTTGATGAAGCATTTCATTTTAATATCCAAAATTTCTGAGCCTTGTTTCCACTCTTTTCTGGTTTTCCCCGATCTGTATACTGGTATTCCTCGCACTGAAAACACACATGGTTACATAAAACGTTCCGGAATGAAGTTTGCAGTCACGTGCCAGTATGCTAAAGTAATCCGGTTTAGATACCTGAACAGTCAAGTTGAAGGATATAGAAACCTTGCGTACTGATACATAAAGCAATCATATATTTGGCCTCAGAAGTCTGAATGTATATACCAAACATAATATACAACTATCCGAAGCTTGTAACTAGTTGGGGTGTATTTTTAAGTACATATATGGATTCAGAATCATATATATAGTAGTATATTAGATTTAAGTAAGTACATTAGTATATACATGGATTAAATGGATTTCTATGGACGGATGATAATTTTAATATTGGAATAGGACATATATATATCGCTGTGACGGCAAATATTCATATAAGTGTATATATATGGGGACTGAAATAGTTATGTTTGCACACGGTAATAGGTTGATACTAGAACTAATACATGGAGAACTTGAATAAAATTATCATTCACTAAAACTATGTACGGGTATGTATATGTTTTGTCACTTGACGCCGATGCGTGGGGATTGGTGTATCTGCAGGCAGGTTTCGTCCAGAAATAGATCAAGTGTCAGAATGTGCGACGATACACACCAGCCTACAAACTCAGCCGCACATGCACTAGTGAAAATATATTAGAATGAGTGCAGGATACGGAAAATTATTTTCTTTTTAGTTACCATGCGTACAAGTAGTAAGTGGTGAAGGAGTTTTCCTTGGTTATATCTCTATAATCAGCCTTTACAGTCACAAATAAAAATGGCCCCAGTTGCCCTCTCGTCTAATTGGCTTAAGCTTCTTCAGAAGAACAAGAATGCCAGGAAGGAGTCCAAGAAAGGTTCCAAGAAAGACTTCACGGACCCCAAATCAAATTCCAAGGTCACCAAGAAAGCCAAAAAGCCTAAAGCCAAGGCCTTATCTTCAACCAAAGCTCCAAAGGAGGATGTTAAATCAAAGATAGAAACAGAGATAGACCTTCCAAGGAACAATATTTCTGAGATTGATGCCACTGCTGTCTCCAACTCTGCCCTTGGGTCCATTTTGTGGCAGAAGGAGACTAACATCTCTGCTGAGGACTTGAAGAAGCAATTCACCCTTGCTCCGCAAAGCTTTTCTGGTCGCAAGACCGAAGCTGGCAAATACTTGTCTATGGATTGTGAGTTCGTGGGTATCGGCCCTGAGGGAAAAGAATCCGCCTTGGCCAGGGTGTCGATTGTTAACTTCTACGGCCATGTCATTTACGACACCTTCGTCAAGCCAAGAGAAAAGGTTACCGACTGGAGAACTTGGGTCAGTGGTGTCACGCCTCGTCACATGAAAATTGCTGTTTCATTCCAAGAGGCCCAGAAGAAGTCTGCAGACCTCCTTAATAACAAGGTATTGGTTGGGCATGCTATCCAGCATGACTTGGATGCTTTGTTTTTGAGCCACCCGAAGGCTTTGATCAGAGACACATCTAAACACCCAGAATACAGAAAGCTTGCCATGGGTAAAACTCCATCCTTAAAGAAGTTGACGAAAGAAATTTTAGGCTTGGAGATCCAAGGCGGTGAGCATTCTTCGGTCGAAGATGCCAGAGCTACCATGATGCTATATAGACTCCAGCGTGCCGAGTTCGAAAAGATCCAAAGAAACTTTGGCAAGGCCTAGGCTGCTAATAGATAAAACTGTACATTAAACTAGATACGAGCAGTAGGGCTATTCTTTGGTCATCTCCGATTCACACTGGCGCAAAAAGTCAGTTAATGCGTCGTTTCTTCTCGTGACCATGTATAGATCCGATGGGTTAATGATCTTCCGCCCGCCGTGTTGGGCAAAGGATTCCAAGTCCTCTCCAAGCGTGATAGCTTGTAGATATACTAATTCAACTAGCGACGCAATGAATCTCGGGGTGGATGTCAATGCCGGGTCAGTGGCTTTTAACTCTTCATCGATAAGCTTGGACACGGTTAGGTAAATGGAAGCTTTGATTTGCTAATTCGGTGGGGTTAGTATCTCCAATGGGAAGTGCTGTCCCGGGTGTTACTTGAAACAGCGAAATACCACACTTACGGACGCCACATTGTTATTTTCATCATCTACCTCTTTCATAATCGGATGCTCATGTGGGGGGAAGGTTAGATTACGGTTGAAGCAATAGGTTGCAGACTCGGTTGTGTTGTGTGTTTGCTAATATAAAAACGCGTCTGTCTAATTACGAACGCGGCGCGCGCGAAAATTTGGGACTGGTAGCTTTTGACCGGCGATAGTTAAACCAGATAGGATTTCAACATACCAGTTTAGGCACATTATTGATTTTAAGCCAACCATTTAGGCTTATAACCCCACTCTACCTGTCCCGCTACTATTAGTACTTTTATGAAACCTGAGCACTAAATTTATCAAGCATGCTTAACAACCTTAGAGTAAACTTTCTTCCTCAATAGCTTCTACGTAAAACCACGTCACCCCCAAACTCAACTTGAAGGGATTTTGTTCCAAGTTATCAACATTGGAAGTAGTGACCTCGAATTTGTGAATACTCACTATGGTTGCCAACAACCAGTCGCGGTTAGACAAGCTGAAGCTGCCATCGTTTTTCAAAAAGTGATGCGGTGCCCCAACGTTGAACGCGGCCCACGGCTGGACAACCACCGTATCATGCATAGCTGCCAGCTCATCCTGCTCGCGTGTAGGTAAAAACATGACCAAGTCCCCTGCCTTGAAATCCTTAATAGAAAGCTTGGAAGAATAGTCTGCTAGAGTCAGCTGAACCTCTTGCTTTGTGGTTTTAATCTCCTTCTGCAACTTTTTGGCCAAAGTCTCCACGTCACCAAACCGTTTTGTAATAGATTTTCTAAGAAGATCGCTGTCCTCAAAGGTCACCGAGCGAATGAATTTCTGGAAGCTAGCTTCCATAAGCTGTGGCAGGTAAACCTTGATGTATTTCAGGGCTTCGGAAACAACGGACAAGTCAGAATCTGGCAACGGTGACTCTGTTTCGGACGATTGTTTCTGTGTGAGTGGTACAGCTTCAATCAATGGAAACCAATTTAGATGGTTTGCCGCTTCGGATACAAACGTGGTAGAGGGCCTGTCCCCACCCTCGGCGTCAGCTTTCCCTTTGTTCTTTAAACCCTTCACCCTGATGACGGTAGGGATGGAATCTTTCATGACAAGAAGCAACCCGATGTTCTCCAAGATTAAACACGAGTCAGTAAAGGTTTTGAATAAAAGACGGGTCAAGATATCAGCTTTCAGGAAACAGTCAACAATTACCGACTTCATACCCTTCATAATAGAAATATGCTGAGAGCAAAGGTTTCGAAATAAAGTGACTTGCTCGGAATCCGTTTTATGCTGCAACTGCAAGCTCTTGATTTCTCTCTCCAATGCCAACTTCTCACCAGTCGATCTCTCTTCAGCAGCGGCGATTCGGGACAACAAGTCGTTTTTTGTTCCCTCCTCCAGAGCATACAGAGCATTTATCTTTGCCATCTGATCGACCAACACGGATTTTTCAAACATCAACGCATTTATCTTTTGCGTATCTTCAATCTTCGCAGCCTCAAACGTGGCACGCAACTCTTCCACCGCACTGGTATCTTTTTGAGCTAACCTCTGCTCCAACCTTTTTATTTGGCCGTCTTTTGAGCGAAGTTTATCCTCTAGATCGTTCCTGGCAGTGAGGATTTGGTCAAATTTCTCTCTCTCTTGCTTCAAAGCCTCGTCTAGTTTTCCTTCGGAAACCTTGTACTCACTCAACGTCTGGGCCATCTTCTCCATCCGCTGCAGCATTTCCTCATTCCTCGCCAACACTTTAGATAACATTTCTTGGGATTGAGCAATATCTCTTTTCCACTTGATGTTCTCCAAATGTTTATCGATGTTGGTGGAGTCATACACCTTAGACGGGACTGACGGGGTATCGGTTTTAAGAGTAAGGAACAACGAGTCACCGGGATTACTCGAAGAGTTGAAAGTGTGGCGTCGTGAGAGTAGCGATTGATCAAGCTTTGGATTTTTAACTCCCGTCTTGGCCGTCATCGATGCACCATCAAACAAAAGTGACTGGCGCTCCAGTGAATCGATCCACGTGGGTTTCGCCTCCTTTGGGGCGCTCTTTCCCATGGGGTACTTGTTCAAATTTTGCTGGTGTAACAAGCTCTCCAACTTATTGATCCTTGATTTTAAGCCCTTCACGAACTCACTATCGCCCTCGGCAGTCATGTCTTTCTCCTCCAACCCTAGCGTTTTGGCGTCTAGATCGGCCAACGCCTTCTCCAACACTGAAACGACATCTGTGTTCTCCACAAGCGACGAGACTTGGGTAGATACACTCTCCTCCTTCAATAGCTCAATATACCGCAACACATGGTCTCGAGTGATTTCGAGGAATTCGCCATTCAGGTTGAACAGACTGCTCCGGGTGATGGTGAGGTCCACGTTAAGAAGATCGTCGTCTTTATTGAAATCATTGAGGTTCAAGAACTCCAAAATCACACCAAACCTTTCACACCATTTCTTCCTGAACTCTCGCTCCTGGTCGTTAACCACCGCAAAGTTCTCGGCGGTATTCAATGTTTTACCCTTCAACATACCGTGCCACTCCTTCCTTCTCACCGACTCAATCATAAAGAAACCGTAGATAAGCGGCATGTCCACCACATGGGACAACGCCTTCTCCGAGACATTCAATTCGCTAATGAACGCCTGCACTGATTTCAACGAATCACGCACCTGGACAATCTTAAGCTGAGAATTGGAGATTAAGGATAGGATTTCCACAGATTTCACCAAAAACTCCTCCTTGAATTTCATTAATTTGAGCAAACTGTTGTATAGCTGGGATGCAGACTGAGAAATTTTGGCAACATGCTGGGTCTTGTGTATCCTGAAGATGGTTTCAATCTCGGCATCGTTTAAATGCTGAATATTCTTGTAGTCAACCTGCATGGCTTCTACCAGTCGTGACAATGTCGTAAGGTGGTCGGTAGTGATCTGCTGGAAATTCCGAAAGTTTTTGATCGACTCATTTCTCAACGACTCGTTTTTCCTGTCGATGGTGTGCTTATCCTTATCATTGGCATCGATTTGTTGCTTCAAGGCCTTGAAGGAGCCATTCAACGAAGAGTATAGCCGTGTGATGTCTTGGGCGGCCCGGTTGAGCTCCGATTCGTTGAGCAAATCAGCCAAAGTCGTAGCGGGCGAAGACGCGGCTTGCCACTTGGCATCGAGCTTGATTCGTTTTAACGTCTGGTAGTGCTGATGCCACCCCTGGGCCAAGGAGTACTGCTGGCTCTTCTGAATCCCTTCCCTCTTTTTGGAAAAGTCGTTCTCAATGTCCAGACAGAAGTTGCCGTAGTACTGAAAAATGACATTCAAGGCCTTGAACAAGGTGTTGACCTCGTTGATTTTGAGCGTGACAGCCTCGTTGATTAACTTGCAGTCGCGGAGTACGGCTGCAGACCATCCACTATTCATCACCAACTTGCTCTGAAGCTGTCTGGGGGCCAGGTCAGTCAATTCTGAATCTAACAACGGAGAGTCAGAGGGGCGGATTGAAACTAGCTCCGCATTGTCTTCTTGGATTTCACGTAAAACGGTCGCGACTTGTGTCTTTTGATGATCGGGAGAGAAGAGGCGTTTGTCAAAGGCGTAAACCTCGGGACCTTCGCTCAACATTTGGAACTTGAACCTCACGCCAAACGGCGCCAACAAGAAGAGGCTGGCTTTCGGGATTCGCAAGTTTTCTTGGACCCATAGTTTGAAGACATCCAAATTGACAAATTGGTGGGGGTTCACCAGGAATGTGATGCCGGTGTGGGCGTTCACGATGTTCATCGTTACCGCATAACTCATACTGGGTTTGTGTGCAGATGGGAGGCAAAAGAGCGGGGTCTGGCGGAATGATAAGAGGATTCGGCCTGGGTGGGATATTTTCCTTTGATTTTGGAATGGTCGTCAGCCCCTTTCTGATATGCGATACGGTAGATGTTACAGTGTGTGGAAAGATGAGAAAGGGGGCGTGCAACTAGGTGGCATCACACGATGAAATGCGATAGGCTGTGGCGTATCGCACATGTGCGATTGTACAGTTGCCATCCTGCACCTAAGAAGCGTTTTTTTTTCTTTGCGGCTCCCTGTCAAACGCCACAGCCTTACACGTCGAGGCTGAAGGCCGAAAGGGGATGCGGCTGGTGAAAAGTGTGAGTCTTTAATATGAGCTAGCCAAGCAGAATGGGATACACGGGAAGACGGAAGGATACAGCTTCCTACGCAACGTGTCCCACATACGGAATAGCAGGGTACATCTATAATACACAACAAGCTATGCCCAGGGTTGAATACAGAAAGCATGATCCGGCAAATGAAGCGGAGTTTGAAACGGTCAAGTTGTTGGTGGACCTGGGATTATCCGAGCCGTACTCGATCTACGTGTACCGCTTCTTCTTGACGAACTGGCCCGACTTGTGCTATCTAGCCACGGATGCCGACCAGGATGGGAAGGTTATCGGTGCCATCATCTGCAAAGTGGAGCCCCACCGCGAAGTCAGGATTAGGGGATATATTGGGATGTTGGTAGTCGACCCATCATACCGAAAACAGGGCATCGCCGCCAAACTCATTGGCGTGGCACTCGACGAAATGACCATCGAGCACAAGGCGGACGAAATCATGCTTGAAGCTGAGGTCTGCAACGGTGCTGCTATAGCGTTATATGAGAAGTTTGGGTTCATGAGATGGAAGAGATTACACCGCTACTACTTGAACCAGCACGATGCGTTTAGGTTGGTGTTACCCTTGACCGAGAAGAGTGTCACCCGGATTGCCTTTTTACCGCTATTGGAGTGCGCATAGCCGTTACACCTATATAGCGTAATAGGGGTAAAAAAAAAGAAGTTGCATACAGACGATTCGTCGAAATATTTCAAAGAGAAAATAGATATTAGTAAAAGCAGATAGTCACGAGGAGACCTAATATACAGAAGTGAAAGCAAACAGAGGAGAAAAGGCTGAACGGATCAGATTTACTCTTCTTCGTCAAACTTTGGAGCCAAGTAGAATCTCAAGTAACCGGATGGCAACTTGTACTCGAACAAAGCTGGGACCTTGTCGGCGATCTTGATGGTGACGCTTTCGGCCAAATTGGTGGCCTTGATGATGTCACTCAAGTACTTCAACCCGAAGGTCAAGTTGACCGGCTTTTTTAAGGAAACCTTGACGGAGTTTTCTGGCTTCTCCAAGTCGGTGAATGGCTTGACAACCACGGAACCACTCCCGATGTCACCCTCACTGAGGAACTTGACGGTGTCCTTGGTGACCAAGATCCCCAAGGATTCAGACAAGTTCTTCAAGTCACGGACAATCTTGGCAAACTCACCGGCTGGCATGGTGATGACAGAGTCGTAGTCCATGTCATCAATCTTCAAGAATTCATTATCGATGTCCATCAACTTCAAGGAGTACTCAGAAATACGTTCTCTGTTCTTGTCCTCAAACACAACGAGCACGGTGTCTGGAGAGTCTTCAGCGATCAAGGTCAAAAAGTCCTCGTTGTTACCGCACTTGATCATCTTACTGAACGAGCTCAAGTCGACACCAAGGGTGATGTTGCGGTCACATCTGTAGTCGGTAAAGGCTTCTTCACCGATCAACAAGGAAACCAAAAGGACACGGGAGTCATCAACGGCCTGCAAAGTGATACCCTTTTCGGTACAGTTAAAGTTACACAACTGGACACAGTCCTTGATCGCGTCAATAATCTTCTTCAACAAGGAAGCTTCGTCGAATTTACCTTCAAGCATTGTGTATATACGGAGGAGGAGTTAAAAGGTGGAGAGAAAGAGTTACTCAAATGTGCAGAGGTGAGAAGAAGAATAAATAGGGAGAGGCGGGGCAAGCGAAAGTTCCAAAGTCTGAACGAACCAGACGCGTCGACGAACCAGACGCGTCGACAGTCTGGCGTGTTTGCCACAAAAAAGTGGCACGCGTCGCCAGAGAGGTTTTTTTTGCGTGAAACGCGACCCCTCCCCGAAAAGCACGTGCATCGACCTCTTCCCGGAGTGTAACCAGCTACACTCCAACCACCTTTAGCTTACAAAAGATTTGTGGGTTTAAAATAGTAATAAAGAATAGTTATACAACACGCGAATTGAGTCAAATAAGAAACAGATCGACAATAAGAAAAGTAGTAGACGTAGAGCCATGGCTAGAATAGTAGTATACACACTGCTTCCATCATGGAATTAACAGAAAGAGGAATAAGTCAAGAGAGAAAGGACAGGGATAAACAAACAGCAAGCAACAGAGGTAGAAAACAGCGCGCAATATCAAATTAGCATTGTTCACATCATCAAGTTGTTTTGGCAACCGATACAGCTACCTTGGGGTTCAAAATAGTCCCTCCCCTTTCTCAAGAGAACGAAAAGAAACACCGCAAGTATTAATGTTATGAGAGACTCATACAGAAATATTTATAAGGCCTCCTCGTTCTTCTTGATGTATTCAGCCTTTTGGACCTCGTATCTCTTCTTGTCCTTCTCAGCTTTTTGGTCGTATGGGGTCTTGTCTTCAGGAGTCAACGACTTCCACTTTTCACCCAACAACTTACCCAATTGACCGAAGGTCACACCTGGGTTTTCGGCACGGACGATGTCTCTGTTTTCGTTAGCGAAAAACATGTAAGCGGACAACGATCTCTTTGGAGCGTTTGGGTCTAGAGCGTGTTAGTAACAAGTTTCGGGGTGCGCGAAAGTTGTTTACATTTGCATGTCAACAACCAACAGCAACAACATACCCTTCTTCTTTCTTGGTCTAGTTCTTTCAGCCATTTTAAATTTTTGGATAACTAATTGTTAATGGTTAGTAAAAGATAAAGATTGGTTAAAAATATTGGGAAGAAGAGGAAAAAAAAGTGGGCGGGAGGGCGAGTGAGTGCGGACACAGTGGGACTGCGTACTATATAAAGGCTGGGAGGCAGAGAGCGAAAAACTGGGAGCGAGGCCTTATTGGGGGTGGGATTCCACCGCGTTTGTTTTTGTTTTTCACGGACAAACCTTGCAGGCTGCATGTAAGAGCAAGGCAGATAGTGCAGAACTGGCGTTTCTCGCAGTGTAGAGCGCACAGAATGAGACACATGCCTTAATGTATGGCTGGGAGATTTTCGCACTCCCGCTTTTCGCACTGTTTTCCTCCGCGCCGCTTTCTTGCACTGTAGGCTCCCTCTAAATCTTCAAAACAGGGAGCGTGCCCACTTTTTTTTGGGATTCAGGAGAGCTGGAATCCATCAATATTTCGGAAATAGAGGCAGAGATCCAATATCGATCCGATTAAACGATTGGAGGGCATAGGAGGTTTCCAGTTTGGCTCGTTGAAGTTGGTTCTTGGTGGATAGGCTCTCATGCAGTCTGCATGAAATATGTCTCTATCGTAGAACCCACCTTCAAGCAAAACAAACCATAGCAAACTTGGCGAATGCCAAATATATTATACTGGTGTTCACCTTCAGCAGCTCTCCGGATACCCAACACTTTTTTATGGTTTTTTTTGCAAATGTGTGAAAGTGGTACATACTAAGTGGTTTGTTAGTGGTACTGTATGTCTGGGGGAGACAGGGTGCTATGCGTAACGATGTACAAATTTAAGTAGGGAAAACAGCGTACAGAATGTTGTTAGTAGCTAACAAAAGGTTAGGGAGGTGGGTGTGTGAGTAGTAAGTAGTAGCAAAATCAGTATGGGTGCAGAGTCAAAATCGACATAGTTTCGCGAAAATCACATGCACCATCCGGCCTTCCTGCATGCATCCCAATGCGGAACATTGTGCGGCGTCACTGAGAGCCGGTGCAAGTGGCTCAACTAAAGTATTAATTTGGTTGGCTCAGATTTCTCTCATGAATCAAAAGACAATGGCGGTTTGCTTCAACTGCCGGGGATATATATATATATATATATATAAAGGTGTACTGTTTGACATAAGTGCACCCGAAAAGTTTCTATTGTTAAGCCCAAACTCGAAGGTGTTCTAGTCTATACTTAGATCTGATCCCCCGGGACAGCCAATGACGCACCTTTAACTATTCATATCGCTCGAGCCAGTTTCCAGACCGTATACACAATATTATCCCGTACCTTACATCAAATCTTAATATCTTGCAGAGCTGGCATAGATCAAAGCTCGTATTTTGATACTCTTTCCAGCATGAGGTTAAGCCCTAAACCTCCATATCTTCAGCGTAAGCTCGTCGGCTCACCCTCAAAGCAGCTTGTTCAATCAAGAATTTCAACCTCTTCTTCCTGCTCGTCAAGTTTCGTCTTCTTCAATGGAGTTTCCAACGTTGTTTTCTCTTCTTCCTCGTGCTTTCTCTTAACACTTGACCCGTTGGTAATCATAAGATCATCATCATCATCCTCATCAGCGATAACAACCACGTCTCCGTCAAGCTCAGGTGTTGGAACTGGGTGCTCCTCTTCCGGCTCAGCTCTTGGAGTTGCCTTCTTCTCGCCGATGACCAAGTCAGGTAGCTGGATAGCGTTGTCAGCCTCGAGCACCTCAATATACAACTCGATGCTCTCCAACTCGTCATCCTCATCATTCACCTGAATGACCTCCCCAGTAACAAACCCCAACTGGTGCAAGGTATTATCCAAGGAGTCGTCAAAGTCGCAGTCGTAGATAAGCTTGCTCTTTCCCAAGACAAGGGAGATTTCAGCATAGCCGTACTTCGTTTTCAAAGCCCCTACCAAGTCAGATAGCACCAATTCCTGCGTGGCCCCGACCCTCATGATCCCACGGGTGATGGAACAGGACGGGCATTTAGGTGAGCCAGAAGCTAGCGTAGAGGTAATAACAAACTTGTTTGCGGCCGTTGAGGTGAAAATCATGCGAGATTTTTCCACGGTGTCGTTGCCAAAAATGTTTAACGATTGCAACGCCGAAAAGCCAGCAATGATTGCATTGGTGGTGGCAATTGCTGGAATGATGTTTCCCGCAATCTGCTTCAAGTCAAACTTGGTCTGGATCGGAATCAGGAAGATGAACGACCGGATATTGGAGGCTGCGGTGACGAAGTTCAATGTGTCCTCGTCATCCTTGTCAAACGACACAAACGTCTCCTTCCCGGAGTTGATTCGCGCCTGCAACCGCAGAATGGAAGCCATCAACACGTGTAAATTCTCAGCAACACTCCACTGTGTGGTCTCTTCGTCAATGATCGCAGGAGATACCTGACCCAATTCCACTTCGTATGCTTCAAACCGGAACGGCTCAGGCTTTGTACGTGTCTTCCATAACGCGTCAATCAACAAGAGCCGCTCAATGTCGACGCGAAAGATTTTGTCGACAATTTCGTGAACAAAGTCGCTCTGCGCAATCTTAGCCTTCAATTCTGCAAGCTCGTTCGTTTCCTTGAGCAAGGTTGCAATTTCCGATGCGTTATCGCTCTCTTTTGACAAGTCGGCTGCCGATAGCTCCTGTGCCTCGTCATTGAACAACTGCGCGAAGAGAAAGTCCTTGGCCCACGTGATGCAATGCACTGGTTTCGACGGCGTGGAACGAATCGTACACACGGGGAAGGTCTTGGGGGTCTCCTTAACGGTGCAATCAAAACACTCGGTCCGGTACGGGAAGATCGGCTGCACTTGGCCGTTGAACCCAGTGGTGCCCGATTCCATCATCAGCTTGCGCAAAAAGAGGCAGATGCGGTTGACGTACGCCCGTGCTTCGATGTTGTCCAACGCGTTAAAAACAATGGAAAACTGGTCGAACCACTCCAATGTGAAAAGCTTTGCGTCCATGATACTCCCGTGGTATGACACCAATTGCGTGCCGTGGAAGTTGAACGGCTGGACCGCATTGACCACCGTCAACGACTTGGATTTGTCAATGTCCCTGTGTCTGAACAAAAACTGGCGGTTCAAGTTCGACAAACTGATCGTGTCCAAGTCCACGATGTGGATCTCGCCGTAGCCCATGAGAATTAAGTCTTTGAGCAACTCGCACCCGATCCCGCCCGCGCCTACCATCAACACTTTCGCCTAGAGGGTCAGTAACAGAGTTTAAGGTAGAGGTTAAGAATATTTACCGAGTGGATGGTGCTTTGGGAGACCAAAACCTTGTTGATATATGTATCTTTAGTCATTATTGGGATATGGGCAGTTGCAATGTCTTGGGCAAATCACGCTTATAAATTTATGGAACAGCGTAACGAAGGACATATCACGTGATGCATAAGATATCCATGGTTTAGCTGGGAACGTCTATCCCCGATGTTACGAAGAGCTTCAAGTGGATTTGAGTTGGCTGCTAATGGTAAGAAGAGGGATAAAAAGCCTTAAAAGGCTCGATGTGTTAGTGCTTATCCGTTGTTTGGAGTTTTACGGTGTTATGGAGACGGTTTTCCTCGGGGGTCTTGTTGTACGTGTACACCGCCGGAACTCGTGAATTATAAGCCAATATGAACGATTGCGGGAAAATTTCTCGAAGATCATCGTCGGTGGGTTTGTATATTTGGGTGGTTTTACTACAATAATGTTTTATTCGTTATCCTGTGACTTTTTGAGAGCACTAGAACCTTACGCTGGTGTACCTTAGTCCTTTACTATGACTGAATTATACTAAGGAGTGGGCTTGACGAAAATTCAAACTGAAAGCACATGTTTTTTTAAAAAAAAAATTCTCATTTGAAGCAGAATAATCTCTATATAAACTTTCAACATTCTCTTTTGCATAAGTATACATAAGACTAATCTCATAGTATTAAGCCAATGTGCCTTTACTGTATTTCCTTCCCCATGTTTTGATTCCTCACATTGCTATATCACGTGTGTTTGCACGTGATTCTTCCCATGAACACGTACATCTATTTTGGCGCGGCTACAGTATCAGCTTCAACCCCTCTCTCTTCCTCAGCAAACAACACAATGGCTAACAAATACTCTGTCATCTTACCGACCTACAACGAAAAGAGAAACTTGCCAATTATCATCTACTTGTTGGCCAAGACCTTCAAGGAAAATAAGTTGGACTGGGAGGTGATCATCGTGGATGACGCTTCGCCAGATGGCACCCAGGATGTTGCCAAGCAATTGATTAAATTGTACGGCGCGGAGCACATTCAGTTGAAGCCAAGAGCTGGAAAGTTGGGGCTCGGGACTGCCTATGTTCACGGGTTGAACTACGTTACGGGTAACTTTGTCATCATCATGGACGCTGACTTCTCGCACCATCCGACCGCCATTCCGCAGTTCATTGCCTTGCAGAAGGAGCAGGACTTTGACATTGTCACCGGCACCAGATACGCCGGCGACGGTGGGGTCTACGGTTGGGACTTGAAGAGAAAGTTGGTCTCCAGAGGTGCCAACTTCTTGGCCTCCATCACCTTGAGACCAAATGTCAGTGACTTGACCGGCTCCTTCAGATTGTACAAAAAGGACGTGTTGGCCAAGATCATCTCTGTTACCAAGTCCAAGGGCTACGTATTCCAAATGGAGATGATGGTCAGGGCCAGATCCTTGGGCTTCACCATCGGCGAGGTTCCGATCTCCTTTGTTGACAGATTGTACGGTGAAAGTAAGTTGGGTGGCGATGAAATCGTTGGTTACTTGAAGGGTGTCTGGAACTTGTTCACCTCTGTTTAAGGGACGCTCGAAGTGCTCCATGACATTTTGAAATATATGTGTGTCGTTTGAAATGAAGAAGTGTAACCGTAGTTAAGGTGCTGCAGGTGTCTCGCTCTGAATGAGGCTATAGGTGCCCCATCCTACGTGATTCTATATGACGGGGGACACTGATAGTGTATCAACCTCTGTAACAAGTCTAAAGACTGATGCAAAGCTTTACCAGTCGGTCCATATAAAGGCCGACTGGCCGCCTCTCTATATCTAGTTCATATCTAATGACCAATTCTACTCGGCTATCTCATTACCTACGTAGATATACTATAGTAGTATTGGTCGTCTACAGGCGGATTTAGTAAGGCTGAAATATAGCCATAGGCTAGGCCGTTACATAGAATACTCTCTATACACCTTACCGAGCCAATGCTCAGCCTACACTCTGACAAACCGTAATGATAAATATATATCCATACCAAGAACCGAGATATTCCGTCCTATCTATACCCATGAAATGACTTTGATACTATGATAGCTCGTGCTACACACTCGCTCTTGCGCGCTCTACTTGTCGGCCTTGCGCGCGCGCTGCTGCGCCATGCCGAGCGGCAACGCCGACAACTGCTGGGACAAATTGTCAATGTCCAAGTGAGGAAGCGGCGCCTGGGAACCCGAGTACTGGGCACTGAGCAGGTGCAACGGTGAGCCGTTGTACTGCGGGTAGCTTTGGGTCGCCTGACTATAGCCCTGTGGGTACTGGCGCTGGAAGCTGGTCAACAAGCTGTCGGGGGTATGCGAGCCGCTGTGGGAGGCGGGCGCGGTGTGCCCCGTCCCTTGCATGTACTGGGGCTGGGTGGCTGCGCTGCTCAGCGGCGCCGTGACACGTGGCGCGCCACACCGCAAACAGCACACGTTCTTGGCAAAGTTGTGGTACGCACAGCTTTCGTTGGCGCATTTCCAGTCACCCGCTCGGAATGGTACCGACGATATGCCGCGTGTGTAATTGCCCTGCGGTGTGTGCGTAGGGGTTGCCGCGTGGGTGTTGGTGTACCCATACATCGACTCCTGGACCGCCGCGGCCGACGCCGCGGGGAAGGAGCAACGGAAACACGCGGTACGGCGCTGGAAGTTGGAGAAGCCACAAGACGGGCACGTCCAGTCACCCGGCCTCGGTCTGTTCTTTGATGGCGGGAACGGAGTGAGAATATCTTGCGCACGGTCCAAGACACGCGCGCTGGATGGCTGTACCTCGACCGCGCGATCGTTAAGCGCGCGCCCGTTCATTGCAAGCGCCTCAGCAGCCTCCTCGTGTGTTGCAAACACGGCAAAGCCGGAGCCGGTGCTTTTGTGTTGCTCGGGCGTCTTCAACGTCCAGAACGCGATGGGGCGGCCACCGTACTGGGTGAACCAGCTCTCGAGCTCTGACTGCGTGGTGTCGTGCGGCAAGTTACTCATGTAGAGGATTTTAGAGCGCTCTGCGAGGAACGCCTTGACGTCTGCGCGCGCGTCGTAGGGGCGTGTGAGCACGTCCGCCCGGTCCTCGGGCGAGGTTCGCTTCGCCGCCAACGCGGCCACTGCGCGCGCCACGGTTGCGGCGGCGGCCTGCGCGCGTCTGGGCGCGGCTGTCGTCTCCGGCTCCACCTCCAACGCCGTGCAGATGTTCGTCAAAGACGACGGTGAGTACGACAACGACTCCGGGTGGTGGGCCTGCCACTTCGCATACTCCTTCTGCAAGTCGTACGCGCGCGCATGCTGCAAGTACGGTGGCAACACAACCGCCTTGTCGCGAGCCTCGCGCGGAAGCTGCACGCGAATATCCCACGCGTGGAACGCCACCAATGCGAAGCTGAGGTTGTGCGCGAGCACGCGCTCACGCACGCACTGATCGAGTTTCAGCACGGCCTCCTTGAAGGTCCCGGCCGCGCGCACGTGTTCCCAAGTAAGCGATGTCAAGCTGGTGCAGAGCGGCGTGATGGGCGTGTTGACAGGCTTCACGAGCACCGAATCACGATGGAGCTCCACGAGCGTCGTTGCGTCCACGAGCACCCACGCAAGCTCAATGATCTCCGCAGAATCGCGCGTCACATACACCGCATGCTCGTCACAGGTCGTGGCGATATGAAGAGCCACGTAGACGTCGCACATGTTGTATGGGAGTGTGTGGTGAAGAAGTGGAGCTCTGGGAAACCAGTTCCTAAATTTTCAGTTCAACCAGTTTTTCGTGGGCGCGCGAACATATATCCTGTACATAAGGAACCGAGATGGTTACTGGATGAAAAGTCTGCTAGTTTACTTTTGTAAGTATAGTTATATATTATACTCTCGAGATCATTTTTTGGTATTAATCTGGAAACTTCAGATTGTAGACTTCAGTCTTGTTCGAGCGCGTTACACCTTCCAATTATGATTATTCAGGGGCACCCGCCTTGATACTCTCCAAAGTAGGACTGTCTCATGGCTAGGATGATGCCACTTGGCATCTGCCAAGCTACAGAACGGCTTTCTTTCTGGTGTTGTTCCACCGGTGTATTCATATTTGAATAGACCGGTACAACTAAGGATGCCCGGTACTTCACAACCATTGCATGGCTGTACTATAGAGACCCAATTTTTACCGTTCTAACTTTCCATTAAGGTATTGGACAAGGGTCTATTATAAGCGGAAAATGAAATGGTGCAGACTAGATACCCTTTTTCATATCCCCCGAATACTCTCGTGTCTCATCATTTAGCTGGCTTAATTGGTCCGTCAGAGAAGTAGCTACATGCTTCACCTTGGCTCGGAGCTCCAGACAGATCTGAGTATAATCTGAATGGTTCTCTACGGAGTTTACATTCACAATTTATCACTAGACCATATTAACCGTTGATGAGTGATACCGATTGGGTAAAAGGAAATTCCCAAAAAAAAAAAAAAAAGAAAAGAAAAAAATACAAGTAATCATCTAGATATTCATTCCCTCTGAAAAGTGAATTGTCGGGCCTCCCTATTTTTTCACGTGACCGTGTACCTGCGCGCCTGCACGCGCGGCTCAATATCAAATTGTTTACCAGTCCCATGGGTTCATCAACCACATCTTCCCCATCTACTCCTCCTCACTTCCTATCACTCATCCATGAAAGACGACGATACGGTCCCGGGAATGTACCCCAAGACCGACCAGCGCGTATTTGCCGCGCAGTTGATTGTGTGCACAGTGCTCGGCACGGCTTCCTTCGTAGCATTCTGCTGCTTCCGCGCGCGCTGGCCGCGCTTCTACGCGGTGCGCACGCTCCGCAAAAGTGGCCTCCGTGCGTTGCCCCCAGGCTTATTCCATTGGATAAAGGCGCTCTATGCAATCTCTGACGACGAGATCTTGCGTGGCTGCGGCTTGGATGCGTTTGTATATCTCGGCTTCTTCCGCATGGCTATCCGGATCTTTGGTGTATGCACCGTTCTCGCCATCACCGTCATCAGTCCCATTAGGCTCTATTACACGGGGCAATACGACAAGGATGGAGTCCTTAGAAGCATCAGATGGCGCGGTGAGGACCCTGACCCCGATCCTGAGATGGCGCCGTATCTCTGGATGTATCCCGTCTTCACGTACATTTTCACCCTCCTGACGCTCTTTTTCTTGTTTCAACAAACCCAGACGGTGGTTTCGACCCGCCAGCGCTACCTTGGCGCGCAGAACTCCATCACTGACCGCACAATCTCGCTCCACGGAATTCCCACAGGTTTGAGCAACGCGCTGGCACTCCAAAGACTCCTTGAGGATTTGGGCATCGGGCGTGTGCGCGATGTAAAGCTCTGTTACGACTGGAGCGCGCTCCGTGCGTTATTCGCTCGCCGCGCGCGGCTCACGCGCGCGCTCGAAGAGGCGTACGCCGCGTATTTGGGCTTGCACGTGGATTTAGATTCCGGAATCCCGGCCGTCATGGTAGCCCAGCTCCCTCCATCCGTCAGTCACAGCACCACCGACTTACCGATCCACCTCAGTGAAACCGAAAGCCCCTCTACCAACCCCCGCCCCCGGGTGAAGCTCGGCCGATTCGGCCGTTTTGGACTTGGCCCATCCGTCGACTCCATCGACTTTTATTCACAACAGCTCGCGGAGATCGACGCCAAAATCGAGCGCATGCGCGAAGCGAACGAGTTCCGTCTTGGAGGTTGCGCGTTCGTGACGATGGACTCGGTCGCGTCCGCACAGATGGCCGCGCAGGCGGTTTTGGACCCGCGCGCATACAACCTCATTGCACGCCTCGCGCCCGCGCCCACAGATGTGAAATGGGAGAACCTCTGTGTCCCACCTGGCCAGAAGTTCGTGCGCCGCTACCTCATCACCTTCCTTATTGCCATTCTGTCGGTCGCGTTGTTCTTTCCCGTTGCGTATCTCTCGACGTTGATCAACGTAAAGACCATCTCGCGCTTCTGGCCTGCCTTGGGAAAGGCCATCTCCGATAGCAAATGGGCCACCACGTTCGTCACGGGGATCCTTCCGCCGTACCTTTTCACCTTAATGAACGTGTGTGTTCCATATTTCTACGCTTACCTTTCCACCCTCCAGGGCTACCGCTCCAAAGGCGACGTAGAGCTCTCAACCATCGCAAAAAACTTCTTCTACATCTTCTTCAACCTCTTTCTCGTCTTCACCTTGGCTGGTACCGCCTCTAACTACTGGTCGCTCCTCTCAGACACGACCCAGATCGCGTACCAGCTCGCGCAATCGATCAAGAAGATGTCGCTCTTTTATGCGAATTTGATCCTTCTCCAGGGTGTGGGCATGTTCCCCTTCCGCTTGCTCCAGGCGGGCGACATCTTCCTCTTCAACGCAAACCGCTTATTCCGCTGTTCAACCCCGCGAGACTACCGTGATGTCTACTACAAGCCGCCGGTGTTTGACTTCGGCTTGCTCCTCCCGCAGCCCATGCTCATTCTCATCATCACACTCATCTATTCCGTCATCCTGACCAAGATTGTTGCCAGCGGTCTTGCCTACTTTGTGCTCGGCTACTTCACCTACAAGTACCAGTTGATGTACTCCATGGTCCACACCCAGCACAGCACGGGTAAAGTCTGGCCCTTGATTTTCCGAAGGGTTTGTCTCGGGCTCGTCTTGTTCCAGCTCACCATGGTGGGCACGCTAGCGCTCGAGAAGGCATTTGTCCTTGCGGGGATCGTGATTCCGTTGGTTGTTCTCACTTTCATTGCTGTATACTCCTTCCAGACCCATTACCTCCCACTCAGCTCGTTCATTGCGTTGCGGTCGATCCAAGACGGTCATTTCTCTGTCGTGGGCGACATGCTTGCAGGGGAGTCGTCATCATCGAGCGTAGATGGGGAAGCGGCCGGTGCAAAGAGCTCTCAGCCGGGCCTGCTAAACGGTGTCGAACCCATTCTGTCGATTTACAATGCTACCGGGCGCTCCACACCCCCCGAAGGGCCGACAAATCCGTCCAATTGCGGTACTAATGAACTTTCCTATCAGCCAAATCTGACAAATGACAATATGGGGCGTTACGCCTCAGTTGTGCCTACCTGGCCACCCCAGGAAGACCTGCCGGCGCCGGAAGATGTTGATGTCACCATTTTAGATGGTGATTTCGTGGTACCTGCGCCGCGCTTAGTCAGTAAGCAGTCGCGCATCCGCAAGCGGCGCAGCACCGTCGACGAGGAACGCGACCAGTTTCTCGACTACACCTACCCGTACTTGGTTGACCATCTCGACGGCCCGTGGTTGGGCTTCGAGGGTGACTACGTCACCACGATCAACTACCACTCGCGCGACGGTGACGGCGACTTCGACACCATCACCAAGAAGAAGCACATGGTGTCGGAATGGGAGTAAAGTGCCAGTACTGCCTAATCACTATGTACCTTAACTATCTGTTCCGTATACGTGAATGTTATTGTTAGGGGAGGGGGCCTTGTAAGGAACGTACTGGGCCTCGCAGATATGCAGAGACAGCTTCTGGAACACGCATAAACTTCGTGATTGGATAGCGGTCCTTGCACGGGGACCCTGATCCCCGGAGATCTGGTCACACATACACTCCCCAAGCCAAATATCTGGACGACGTGCATACCAAACAACAAACATAAACACGGGTTAGCATCCAATTGCATATTAGCGCTTAACGCGGATGCAGCCTCGCATGCCTTAAGTCTGCATATGCGTCTCAGAGTCCTCGTCTAGTGGTGTTAATCCATAATAGTATCAGTTTAAGCAGAAAATGCTTGGTTTTCTGTACCGTACATATGTCGAGCACTAGTGGCATGATGCAGTCTACACCTTGCCAGTCCTGGGGGGGAGGGGGGCCATGTTTATGATCATGACACAGGCACCCACCCAGGCGCGGGCCTATTTCGACCGATATCGGCCTAAGTCTGGGGCATTGTCTGAAGGCTTCATATCTTACACCCCCCCCCCGGAGGAGAGAATTTAGCATTAGGTATTCATACTATTCTGAATTTGCCCAAGTATCCATATCATGCAGTCGTGAGATTATGGGCTCCCCAGTAATTCTCTACTTTCTAGATTTCTTCTTGTGGGCCTTGGTTTTCCATATCTTGGAGATCTCCTTCAACTTTACCGTCTTTTCTTTCTTGTCAACAACATAACTTGGTCTCTCTTCATTGTAATCGCAGTCGAGATCTAATCTCAGACAGCTCATGCAACTAGGCTTTTGTTCGTCACACTTGAGGTGGCGGATACGACAAACCCAACAGCCTTTCTTGGAACGCGGCAACGTGGCAACCCGCTTGCGGTTGGCCAAAGGCTTCAAGTGGAAATCTTGTTGGAAACCTGACATACCTGCCATGTTAAACTCGGCAGAGCCCTGGCCGTTGTTTGGCATGTACTGAAGTGAGTCAGGAGCGTAGCCTAAAATCTTGCCATTCGCCTCGACTTGGTACGCAGCCTGGTGGTTCAAGTAGCGAGGTACTTGAGTACTAAGATAGGCCTGATGCTGCGTATCTGGATGGGCCATGCCTCTATGTACACTAGAATTCAAAGGTTCTGAGATGGTCATCGGAGCTTGCGATTGCGGGACGAAATAGGATAACGGCTGAAACCCTTCATTGGTGCCAAGAGCGGTTTGGTCCATGCCCTGTGGCTTGGGGGCGCTCATGGATTCAGATCTGGGGATCCATTGCTGTTCAGGCATGAATCCGATTTGTTGGTTCACCGGGCTCATCTTCATGTCGCTATTCTGGTATTGATAAAATTTGGGCTTGTTCCGGCCATCAGGGGTTAACGCATTCATATTAGGGTTCATGTTGAATGAATAGTTTGCCGAACTAGCCCCGTTGAGGGGGGGTGGCCTGTTTTGGGCCATCAGAAGCTGTTGAAGACTGGGATTTAGTGGATACAGCTCCTGGGACGGCGCAAGAACTTGGCTTCCACCAGGATACCCTTCCAACTGGTAGTTATTTAGGATCTGACTACCGGCATTGAATGGCACTTGAGAGGGGAACTGCTGCGGTAGTGGCAAGGTTGGATAGAGGATATTGGGACCTCCGTGGCCTTGTTCTTGCACTTGCTGCTGGTAGGACATTTGGCTTCTGGCACTAAGGGTATCTTTAGACAGGACGCTTATGGATGCTATGTGAACAGCGCTGCAGAGCAATTGGTGATAAAGGGTATACTTCTTGTGCTTCTGGTTTACAGTTGTAGAAGAGAAAGACTGTGAATCTCTACGGCAAGGAATGGGAATCAAAGATAGTAGCTGGTGAGTGTGTGAAACGGGAACCCGGACGCCATGCTACTTTCTGCATCTGCGGATTTGATCTGAATTATATAAGCCTTAGAGTTTTTGCGACGAAAACAAGGGATCTATCCCAGCCATGCCTAACCGGTGCATGCAATGAGATACGTCCAACATAAAATTTAAAGGGAATGCAGACCCCCCTGTAGGGAAGAATACCTTGACGCAGGTTCCGCAGTGCTTCAGCCTAGGTTGTCTGGGTAGCATGCATATTTTGAGAATGGAGCTTGGCTAGTCCTTTGGGGAATGTGTAAATATCTCTCATGTTTTGACCTGTTTCCCCCAATTGCATGCCTAATGCCTCGCCAACTCGTAGGGCATTTATGATAAGACGTCGGTTGAGACAGCAAACCTTAAACAATCTAGGGTTGCAGGCCTGATGTGCATATCACCGCATGCAAAGATGCCCTCGTCTAGATAACACGCATAAAAATACGCCTTAGTCTATAAAAATATGCAGATTCCACGCAGAAGGCCACGCCTCTGCGTCGTCCAGAGAAGAGGAAAGGCAAGATTGAGGGCACTGATGACATGGCTACAGAAGCACAATGCATTATCATATGTAGCGAGATTAAACTTACATGCTGGCCCTCAAACTATTGCCTGATAATTGCTCTTGACGATGTTCTTTAGGCTATATTCCACACGAGGCGTCACGGCATGTCTCTTGATTGCATGCATTCCCCAAGATGCCTGGCCGAGATGAGAGTCAGCTCGTAGCCATCAGTCTAGAACCCGAAAATCGCTGAACTCCCCCAAACCACGTAATCAAAACAAGGACTATGGCAGGAATGTGCCCAGACTGCAGCTCGCTGTCCTATGCGTAGTAAGCTACTTGGCATTTCTTGACAAATGTGATACCGGGTGCCACGCCGCTAAGAATCAACATTACGTGGCTCCTATAGAAATGTGCCAGATGCCCTGGTCGGCTGTAGAGTACTTGACGATGGAAACCCCCCACACAGGCTTCGAAATTGGCACTATTGCCGTGGAGGAATTTTTTTCTCATGCATGGAAGGCTCAGGTGCCGTCACCTCTACCCAAGGCTAGCGCGTGGCATTTTCAGATGAATCGCCGGTTACGGAGATTTCTACTGCATCAAATTCTTCCATGACGGCTATCTTAAGCAATGGAATACCCGTGTAAAAAGTGAATGACAATCGCCCAGCTACACGATGTGTAGCAACCGCACAGATCCTTGTTATCGATGTAGGACTAGGGTCTGTGACGGAGCGGAATGTACATTTTATTTGCCTTTCCCCGGCGCCTGGAAACTAGAAATCCCAAGCGGATACGCTGCAGCTCTGAGACCTTAAATGATTTTTTCCATACGATTGAATCTCTAGCTCCCGAAGGCACAGGCGCTACACGGCCCGCGAAATAAGGTTCTCGTAAACCCCCAGATCCTTAGTCCAGGTGGGCAGTGTCAGGATGCCGGGAGATTCCCGATTCCTCGAATGCGCATAGTCAGGCCATGAGTTCTTAGATGCATCGTAAGCGTATTTCAAGTTCCAAACTTCGATCCCGCATTGGTCCTGCTGGCAACGACTCTAAGATTACTTGCGGGGCTGATTTCCATGGCACGAGTTGCACTGTCTGGCTCGGAATCATGCGACTACGTACGCCAGAAATACGCATGGACGTGCGTGCCGAGGCTTAACCAGCTGGCATTTAGGCGTGTCAGCTAGATGCTCTATATGCGAGAATCCCAACTACATGATACCTTGTTTCACTTTCCCTGGGTAAACAATGTCGTACACGTGCTTTCAGGCAGTAGTGTAAGGATTTGGAGAAGGTCAGCACGCCCCTATGCACTCCTCAAGCTGGCTCTGCATACGCACACTCAGTACACGTTGTAGTCTCAGAGGACGTTGCGCTGATTGCTCAGGCCGTGAATCTAAAGGCGGTTTATACTAAGACTCGAAAAGAGATCCATTGAAACCCAATCAGGTGAGACCACCAGACTCCCTTTCTGCAACTATTTCTCTAACCACTAACCAGCTGGTCACATGATACACGACAATGCCCTTAAGTAAGACGTATTTTTGTTAGGGCTTTGAACGAAAGTCGCCGGGTAACTGCGAGAACGCGAAAATTTTCTAACGCCTGGGCTGGTGTAGAGGACGCGTCTGCAGTATAAAAAAATACGTCTTCCCTAGCCTTTTTGTTCTTTTTAGTCTTTTTTCCTTTCCTCACATATTTTCACTTCCGGAGTACCAGCGCAGCTTGTTATGCTCTATCTTGCCATGTGCAAAAATGGCTGGAAGGAGAACAATATCCTCCCATCATTATATAATCTGACCTTCAGGAATGGGGTTCAACGGGATGAGGAAAGAAGGCTTCGGCCTTCTCACTTCTTCTTGGGTTCGTTTATTCGCATCTAAGTGTCAGTTCGCGTGATGGATACATTTCATATATAGTTTAGCGGTAATATGTTTTGCAGCTGGGCTTCTGCTTAGGCTATAGGCTCGCTATTTCCCATTGACATATTCATCTACGCGAAGGTCATGCGTCAAGGGGTAAACTGAAACTGCTCAGACTCATTCGTTGCGCCAAATTTTGTCTCCAAGTTTTCGAAAGCTACAAGTGGTCTGGAAACGGCACGCCTAGTCATGGTGTTACTCCGGCTGTAAATTGGAAGTTTGATGGACTCCGCGTAATCGCTTGTGCGAAGCATACGCTCTCTACTCCTGGGTATCCGTAGGCGTTCTCTTGACCATGTACCTGATTTCTTGCCCAAGGGATGTTCTGCACTAATGCATACAGTAGCAGCTCCATTACCTTAGGGACATCATTTATTACAAAAAGGGGCATGTTTCCAGCCATGATTATTCCTAACGTTGGCGGTCGCTGACTGGCTAAGGATCATTTCCAAAGGTGGGTTCCTTGAGATTCTGTACAACCGTTTACGCTATATATGGGAACGTGAAACACTGTAAGTGGTATGAGCTTGGACAAGAATATAAATATATCTATAGGGTAAACGCAAACGCATCCATTCTTTTTACCAGCTTCTGCTAATAAAACACGAAAAATAAGTCCTGGGTTCATGCTAAATGTTCAAACAGTCGGCGATAATGGCTTCTCTTGATTCGTAGCATGCACAAAAATTAACAAAATCATAGTCAAAAATTTCGGATATGGCTTCTACAGTATAATTGGGTATGCATTATATGTATAGGATACATTATGAGAGTGATACACAACCATAGGGTCACAATTGTAGACTAGTCTAGGGCCGTTGGCATATTAGGCCAAGTTGCCATTACGTGACCCGATAGCGGGGAACGATTTGCAACGGAAAATTAGAGCACAGCTTTTCCGCGATCCTATTTATCCAACATATCATTTAAGTCTTCGATTAAATGGATTATCCTGAGGTTCATGACTAATCGTGGTTTTCTTACTTGCTTTTTATATTGATATATAATACATTTTGGCAAGTATGCATAGACATACAAATGTATATATACATGATACAAAAAGCTGCATTGAATATATCATGTATATATACATAAAAATACGCATTGAGGATTGTTTTCTAAATTGTAGCATACTTTTTAACTAGATATGGGTTATAATTTCGTATATATAAGGGAGTTTGAGAATTGATATCTACACTAGTTGCACCATAGATTTCTCTTGCTCAATGTAGACTCAAAACATTTAGTTTTTCGTGGCGGTTTACTATCTCGTTCGCCTTCGCACGGGTGCATTTTGGGTAGGGTAACAAATACAGGTGGCGTTTGTCAAGTTTGTGAAGGTGGCGCTGCTGACGAAATTTTAGCTCTCTTACACTGAAGTTTAAACTTGGCTCAGGCGATTTATTATCTAGGGTTTAGAAATCTAATTGTACCATATTTGTATTTGATAAGCAATATATTATCTGAAAACGAGTGGTAGAGCAAGCAGTAGTAATTACCCGCTTGTCCCCCCCTTAAGCATCAATAAAACTCATAAAGAAAC